ATGTTTCATTTCTACGTTAAAATCATTATAATTACAAGTAGGCTACGTATACTACTAATCACTGAAGTCCTCCACAAAATTGTTCCTTGCAAGCTTTTCTGCTGTTGCACGAAAATTGCTAGCAAAAGTGAAATGTAAGATGTGAAATTTCTCGAGGCTACCGTCTAGAAAGGCAACAGCCTAAAATTTATAACCGTTGGATTGTCGGTCTAACTTAAGTTTTCAAGATGGGGCACTGATTTTCATATTCATACCATCAGCTAGGAATATCCTATTTAAAAGCACAGTCAACGGCAGCTGCTTACAGCATACAGTCTACTATTTACTCCCCGCAGAGCGGTACTCGTTTTTTAACCTCGGAAGAAAGAAAGATGAGTGACCCCGACCGTGGATCAAACCCGAGACCTTTCTGTCCTGAGTTCAGCGTAGTAACCACACTCTAGATTGATGTGAAATTTGATGTCCTCCCGCAGCCGCTTGATATATAGTAGAAATATGCTTCGAGAATTCGAATACAGTAACAAGTTAGAATCCAACTATAAGTAGTACGCTTAAACCTACCGAATACCGAATGATTTAACAAGAATCGCATAATCACCTATTGAACCGCACTATCATCTATATTTTGATAATAATGCACTTACTGCCACAGAAGGAGGCATGGTAGGAACGAAAGAAAGACAAAATCGCTGAGCCATTTCTTCAATCAGCCTTGTCAACAACCTTTCTTCGTCAATTGAAAGTATGCACGATAGAAGCTGAGGGTTCTAGAGAAAAAAATTAATTACCACAAAAGTTTTCAGGCTTAAAGATCCGACCGAAGTTTCCCTAGAAATCTTAGCCACCATCTTTTCGTGAACTTCTGTACGAAGTTTCTGAAGTTGTTCTTGAGATGAAAACATCCAGTACTTCTTTTGAGTACTCGTTGAGAACATGTTGCAAGACCACGAAACGTATGAGAACGACGTTTAGGTTCTCAACCATCAAAACCGATGAAAGTATGAATTTCTCTGTTGCATGCTGCAGGACAGATGGCTGGAAACAGTTAAGAGTTCACTAAAATAAACAGCAGTAAGGTACCTCAGAGAGTTCTGTACATGACTGCTAAAAAGCAACACCTACTCAAGCAGTAATGCTACTATAAAGATAAAATAGTGACATCAACAATATCATAAATCACGGAATAAAGAAATTCAGAAATAACTATATCATAAGATAACCGAAACCTAACTCATAAAGCACGTCTGTAGCTTCGACGAAATAAGTACGCGAATAGAAGGCCTTCTGCCTCCAAATACACCAATCAACAACAAGAAAAACTTCCGAAACTTTACCAACCTCCTATCTTATACATGGCACGTGAAAGACGAGCCGACACATGGACACTGGTCAATCAGTGATCAATCATCTGATTGACCACACTATTTTGTGTCGCGTATTGTATAAACTGTTTTGCACTGTTTTTCGGTAAGAGCACCAGTTAAGGAACGAAAATCTCTAATAAGAACAAAAATACGAAAACAGAAGCGAGCTATACGCAACAGTTATACCCAACACATGAAGGTATTCTGATATGCTGTCTTCAGAATTTTTGAGAATAAATTCAGTTTCAGATGGCAGGTGTACTGCGAAACTCATTATGTGCGAACAATGTGATATTAATATTCCAAAAATTACGGAATCGCTTAATATACTACATACGAAGGGATACACCCTAACGGTCAGTGGGCAGTGTTAAATCAGTGATGAAGAAGCTCCTCAACAAGA